TAAAACAAAGACTTCTAGATAGGCTGACTAGATTCACCAGAAGGGCAAGTAGTGGGGAATGGCTGGAGGTACTGACAACACAGCAGACAGTAGCAGGGATATCAGAGTTTACGGGCTCTAGTGGGGGAAGGGAGGCTATGGAAGGGTGCCATCTGTAAATTGGGTGTATAGTTGAATAAGATGGTTTGGTATGTTCCGGGTGATAGACACATACACACAAAAAAAAACTCAACAAAATTTTTTAAATGTATTGTATTTGAGGAGAGAGCATGGAAATTTAATTCATGTTAATTAGTAGAGGTGATAAACATTACCATTGAAATCTACCCGATGACTTTATAGACATACACATGTGCCAACGATCCAAGTGCAACGGATTATGACTAGTAATAATCAGATACCTACAGATTAGAGATGCATGCACCAACATCTCAGTGTTAATAGCAAAAACAGTGAGTCTTTCTGCAAGGAACAATGTATTCTACAATGAAAGAGAGATCTTTTTTAAAGGTTAAAAACTCATTCAATTTTATATCTTAGAGGGCTTATACTGAGTTCAATATTGTATAACTGTATTAATTCAACCAATAACCCAGAAACTTTCAGTCACTTGTGAAAGAGATGTACTCTGGAGTGTGTTACTGAATATGTTAAAGCTGTAGTGAAATGCTTCTTCTAATCATGTAGTTATTAAAATTTCTTTTAAAATATTAAAAATAATAGGTCTTTAAAGCATAAAAATTTCCTCCTTAAATCCATGCTCAGACGCCAAGGAGCTCAGAAAGTAACCGACTGTGACTAGTAATAATCAGATATATAGAGATTAAAAACGCATGTGCAAATATCTTAATGTCAATTGTGTTAAAATGAATTTTTCTGTATGAAACTATGTATTTTAATAATGAAATGGAGATCTTTTCTAAAGGTTAAAACCTCATTTAATTTTATGTCTTATAGGGTTTATACTGAGTACAATATTGTATAACTGTAATAATTCAACTATAAACCTAAAGATTTACAGCCAATTTAGAAAGAGATGCATCTTAGCTCTGGAAATTGTTATTGAATATGTCAATGCTGTTGTAATGAAATGCTTTTTATAAGTATGTGGTTATTAAATAAATAATTTTTTAAAACTTCCAAAACATTCTCAACAATCACTATTTTAAAAGATAAACTCAGTGAAACACTCTCATAATGAAAAACTGCAATATAATAGCAAAACTGATAAACTGAATATAACCAACAGGTATTGACTACTTATTCTCCACCTTCTCAGAACATAACTCACCCAGGGGGAAAGGATTCTAAAAAGGAATGAAATCAACCAAATGTGGATTGGTAATACAAACAGGATGTCAATCAAACTGAAAATCGTATCATTTATAGCATGTATTGGTTACTTTTCTGATCACTGGGATGAAATACCTGACAGAAACAATGGGCCTGCTTCTGTGGTAGAGGAGCTTGTAGAGTGATGTGTTACTCAGTTCAGGAAGCAGAGAGTTCAGGCCAAAACCTGGGCTGGCTATAATCCTCTAGCCCACCTTATGGCAGGAAACCCAAAAGTCAAGTCCGAAGTCCAGAAGGTTCCACAACCTTTCAAAACAGCACGAGCAGCTTAGGGACCAAGGGTTCAAATATATTAGCCTTTAGGGACATTTCACAAAAAAACATAACTGCAAATCTACACATTCCTCAGAAAGAAGAATCAGAATGTGCTGCTTCCACAAGTTTCATCAACACTGTTCCTTCCTTTCAGTACACAAGTAATAAGAAGAAAGTCAGGATTTATGGTTCAATTCAATGTATGGACTAAAATTTACTAACCAAATACATTCTGAATTTAAACATGGAATATTTGTGGATTCTAATCTCTTGATCCACAGAATAAAAAATTCCAAAACATTCCTCAGCATGTGGCAGACCAAAGAATGAACAAAAGAACAGTAACTATTAGGCTGACTTTGCTCTTCCCTGTGATTCCTTATACTCTCTACCAGCCAAAGAGCAAAGCCCACTCAGGGTTTAGGGAAGAAGGCATGAATGGTGGGATTCTATGTCGTCATTTTGTTCTTTAACTACTTGTTCCCGAATCCTACCTCTTCTTACAATAAATATTCCCTGCTACCTATCTAAAATGTTCTAATATCCCAAATCAAATTCTCCACACTCCAAATTTTATTGTTAAAAAAGGAACTACCTAAATATCTAAGAGGTTTGATAGATAAAACAGATAAAACAGTATCCACTGGATGGAAAAGTATGCAGCTATAAATAAAAAAAAAAAAAAAAAAAAAGAACAGCAATGTGCTTAATGACTCCAGTCTGTATATTTTAAATGTTAAAATAATAAATTTTGTTATGTTTCTTTTCTAATATAAACACTTTCATGACTGAGACAATGTTCACAATGCATCATTTTCTTTTTGAGGTAAAAATATTGCAGTGTAATAAACCAAGGAAAAATGCTTAAAGATAGCCAAGCAGGGTGGTACATGCCTTTAATCCCAGCAGTTTGGAGGCAAAGATAGGCATATCTCTGTAAGATCAAGGTCAGCCTGGTCTACATAGCAAGTTCCAGGCCAGCTGGGGCTACAGGGAAAACGTGACTTTAAAAAAAAAAAAAAAAAAAAAAAAAAAAAAAAAAGGTGTTTAAAGATCAGTAATCTCATTGGTGTTTAAAGGTGTTTAAAGATCAGTAATCTCATTGGCTCATGTGTAAAATCTAGAAAAAATCACAGAAAACTCAAAAATCTCTTCTTACATCCAAATAGAACCACTACTGCCTACTAACTATCCCTAAAATGGGATGATTATTTAGGTATAGAGATAGAGTCCTGTATATCTCAGCCTCTATAAAAATTTCCTTAACAAGCAGTGAATGGCTAAAATGTTACCATCAAAATGAGAACTTTGAATTTTACCAGTAGTTCAAATGCCTAGTGTTCCTATTATCCGCTCAACTCAAGAAGAAAACAGCTGGACTGCTTAGTGTCTTGTGCTACACATTTAGTATCTTCCATCGTGTTCACAAATGTTCGGTGATGACATATACCACTATTTTCATAATTGTATATCTGAGAAAACTGAGGTCATTGTTGTGCTGCTGTTTTGTTGTTGTTGTTGTTGTTGTTTTGCTTTTTTAAAATTTATTTAATAACCACATAATTAGTAGAAGCATTTCATTCCAACAGTATTGACATAGTAACAGTTTCCAGAGCAAAGATGCATCTCTTTCAAAATTGGAGCCTCACTCCATAAACCAGGATGGCTGAAACTCACTCTGTAGTCTATATTGCCCTCTAACTTACAGTGATCCTCCTGCCTTAGCCCCCTGGGTGCTGGGATTACATAACTGAACCACCAAGCCCAGCAGTCACATTTTTCTTTAAAAATCACTCAGCTATACACAGTGAACCAGAACTGAGACCAGGCCTAGCTAACCTCAGATTCCTGGTCTTGATTCCGCTGCTGACATGTTTCAATTTTCGTAGGTATCATCAAAATCTTACCATATAAAGTCACGTACTGGTTAATTACAAATTTTCAAGTTCATTGTACAATCCTGATCACTGCTTCTCAGTTACTTACATGCTGAAAAATCAGATTATCTCTTTTCACAACAAATAATCTAGAAGTAGTATGGAAATTATGTCTCAAATAATAAAAAAGGATAATTTACAAATACATACCAAAAACTGGAAAATGTACTCCCAATTCATTTAATATAGAAATCATATGCTTTCCTTATGTTATTGTACTTAAAACTGAAGAATTTAAGCAGTTGCCACTGAAAATCAAGAGTGGATTCAAGAAGCTGAACTTTTTCACACCTATTGCAAATCTAAAAAGATAATGTTACATGTTATGATTGTATGCCTTCATGAAACAAAAAAAATAGTTTAAATAGCAATATGGCTTTTCCTTAAACTTAGAATTAAAAACTAAATTGTGAAAACATATGTTTTTAATAAGATTGCCTCCTATAACCAACATAGCTCACCTTTCAGCACATGTGCATTCTGAAAAAGGATAAGCTATTTTTTCTTTAACTCACATTTTTCTTTAAATGCAAAAATGTGTTATGCCACAAAACGATATCCTCTTACATTATACACTTTAAAGCATTCAAATTGTGCTGTAAGACAGAAACCCTTAACTACAAGTTATACCCTGGGAGCATAATGAAAGTTGTCTCTGACAGAACTAGGCTTTTAAAGTCAACGTGTTGCATGAAATATGATGTAAAACATCACCTCTCTGCAGCCTCATAACTCGTTTTTCAATGGTAAGAAAAATCTCCTGAGACACATTACAAAATGTAACTTTTATCTTTCCCTGTCCCCTTGCTTTCTGTTTTTTATTTCTCTTATTTCATCTAATTTGCATATATTTCTCTATTATGTCATCAGATTTCATCTCCTGCTCTCTCTCTCTCTCTGCACATTATTCTTTTCTCATTCCTTTTTAATTTAATCTTACTTCTTTTTTCCACACTTTTTTGTTCCAGGTTTACATCTTTCAATTATTATTATTGTTGTTATCATTATTGCCCTAATTCTTTTTTTAAATATTTTATTATTTTCATTTTACGTGTATGCACATATTGTCTATGTGTATGTAAGTGCATCCATATCATGCAATGTCTGTGAAGGTCAGAAGAGGGCATTGGATCCCCTGAAACTGGAGTTACAGATAGTTGTTAGCCATCATGTGGGTGGGTGCTGGGAACTGAATTCAGGTCCTCTGAAAGAGTAGCTAGTGCTCTTAACTGCTGAGTCATCTCTCCAAACCCATAACCCTTAACTTCATAATTTATCTTATATTATTCTTTTGTTATTATTTTATGTGCATAAGTGCATTGCCTGCATGTGTGTAAGTGCACCCATGTGTCGTGCAATGCCTGTAGAGGTCAGAAAAAGGCATCAGATCCCCTGGAACTGGAGTTAGGGATGGTTGTTTGCCACCATGTGGGTACTGGGAGTCAAAACCTGGGTCTTCTGCTAGAGCAATCAGTGCTCTTAATCTCTGAGCCATATCTCCAGCCCCTATTTTACATTATTCTTACAATTTTCTTTTCTGTGGTTACTGACAACATAGAAGTTTGTTTTAATTAATTGTATTTCTATATCCGGTTTATTTCAATGTTATTGTTATGGCAACTTGTTTTCTCCTGAGTAGTACTAAGGATTGAACCTGCAAGAGAAGGCTACCAGTAAAGGGGACCCTCAACTAAAACTGGAAGAGATAACCATTCCAAAAGATGTATAAATTGCTACTTTGAAACACAAGAAATATGAATATACAACAACATGACTCTCCCAAAAGTTCACAATTCTTCAGTAACTGAATCCAAAGATGTGATGCTTAAAATGTCAAAGAATTCAAAAATCAAGTCTGAAAAATAAGTGACTTCAAAGAGAATTCAAATAAACTAATGAATGAAGTAAACAAATTAATTCTAAAACAGATGAGAACATCAAGTTGGATGACCTACTTTACAACTTGCATGAGAAATTCAGCAAAGAGATAAGGAGAAAAACAGAAAGTGGGGATTAAGGATAAGGTTGAGGACTTATATTCAGAAAAAAATAAATTTTTAAAAAGCAATAAAGGTCACACCACCCAAGAATACTGAGACAGAATTAAGAGACAAACTACAAACTTGTAGTGTAGAAATAGTACTCAAAACCCAGAACAAAGGCACGCACATACACACACACACACACAAAAAAAAAACTAATGAAATTAAAGCAGAACAGAACATTTTTCAAATCTAGATAATGAGATGAACATTCAGGCACAGGAGGAAAATAGACAGGATCAGAAAAGAAGCTTTGCACATGACATACCTATAGTGCCAGAGGCTAGAACAAAAGAGTGCTGAAAGTTGGAAAGAGAAGGGCCACATTACTTTAAAAGGCAAGTGTACAGAATAACAGCAGACCTCTCTGAATAAATCCTAACTACCAAGAGAACATGGACTGAAGCATTTCAAACCCTGAAATAAAACAACTATCTACCAAGACTACTGTATCCAGCAAAGTTATCCTTTAATATAAAGGAGAAATAAAGAACTTCCAGGATAAGCATAAACTAAAGCAATTCAAGCCAGGACTGCATAGCCGATCTAAAGGAATCCTAGATAGAGAAGAGGCAAAAAGATACACAACCGTGAGACCTTAGGAAAGAAGAAAAAAAATCACACCAGGAGAAAGGCAAGCAAATGAAAAGTGGAGAGTCTCAAACATAGTTAACTAGGTAAACTACCAAATCTCTAAAATGAAGTAAAGTTACTAATTACCTATCAATAATCTTAAATATAAAGTCTTAACTCTCCAACCAAGATTCAGACTGGATAAATTTAAAATAAGATCTAACCATTTCTTGGCTATAAGAAATTCACTTCCTAGTCAAAACAGACACAGACTGAAAGTAAAAGGGTGGAAAATGGCATTTGAAACATCGGAATCTAAACACAAGCATGTGTAGCACCCGTTCAGATCTGGCAAAGCGGACTGTAAGCCAAAATTAGAAGGGATAAATGAGGTCACTACTCATTACAAATGAAACAATCCATCAAGAAGATATAAAAAGAATAAATATGTTGTACTGAATGTTGATAAAAATACTACTGGACACAAAGGGACAGACAGGCCCAGATATGACAATAGTGGGTAACTTCAATGGCCACTCTCATCAATAAATAGATCATCCAGACAAAACTAAAATCAGAGGGCTGGGGAGATGGCTCAGTGGGTAAGGTGTTTGTTAGACAAGCATGAGGACCTCAGATCGGTTCCCCAACACCCACATTTTAAAAGCCAGGCATGGCAGTGTGTATCTGTGATCCCAGCACTGGAGGATCCTGGGGTCTGCTGGCCAGTCAGTTTAGATGAAACACTGAGCTGCAGGTTTAGTGAGAGAGCCTGTCTCAAAATAACATGGAGAATGATCAAGGATGACAACAAGGCCGATCTGAGGCATGGATGGATGCATGCACAAACATGCACACACATGTGCAAACATGTATACAACTCACACATACACATACAAAAAGTATGAAAAAAATAAAACAAAACTTCAATGTTAAACTGCACCACAACTCAAATGCACTTAACAGATATCTACAGAATATTCTAGTCAATGATTACAGATTCTTCTCAGCAGCCCTTGAAATTCTCTCTAAAACAGATCACATTTTATTCCATAAAGTGAGTCTTCACAAATACAAAATAACAAAGAATTTCTTTCATCATAATGGCCGTAATGAAATAAAATTATAAATCAATAGCAAGAGAAACCACAGGAACTATATAAACACTGTACACTGAATGATACGCTTATGAATGACCAAGAGACAGTTGAAGGTTGTTATGGAGGGATTTAAGAAGTTCCTAGAATCAAATGAAAAACAGAATTTATCATAATATTTGGGGTGTTCATAGCTACATGTGTCTACATTTAAAACTCGGGCCTGTGCATGGTGGTGTGCACATTTAATCCCAGCACTCAGGAGACAGAGGCAGGTGGATCTTTGTGGGATCAAGGCCAGCTTGGTCTGCACAGTGAGTTACAGCTGCAGCTATGGGGAAACCTTGTCTCAGTAAATAAAAAACTAAAAATAAAAAATAAATAAATAATAAATGCTCCAGTGAGCTGGACTGTGGTCCCCTCCTGTGAGCTGGACTGTGGTCCCCTCCTGTGAGCTGGAGCTATGCCCCACCCCAGCTGGAGTTGTGGTCATCTCCTGGGAGCTGAAGCTGTGGTTCCCCTCATATGAGCTGGAGCTATATTCTTTCTATGAGCTGGATCTGTGGTTGCCCTCCTGTGAGCTAGAATCGTGATCCTCTCCTATGAGCAGGAGACGTGGTTCCCCTCCTGTGAACTGGAGCTATGTACCTCTCCTGTGAGCTGGGGCTATGGTCTTCTCCTGTGGGCTGAAGTCCTGATCCTCTCCTATGAACTGGAGTTGTGTTTCCCCTCCTGTGAGCTGAAGCTGTGGTTCTCTCCTGTGAACTGGAGCTGAGGTTCCCCTCCTATAAGCTGGAGCTACCCTCCTGTGAACTGGAGCTATGTACCTCTCCTGTGAGCTGGGGCTATGGTCTCCTGTGGGCTGAAGTCCTGATCCTCTCCTATGAACTGGAGTTGTGGTTCCCCTCCTGTGAGCTGAAGCTGTGGTCCTCTCCTGGATCTGAGGTTCCCCTCCTATAAGCTGGAGCTATGGTTCCCCACCTGTGATCTGGAGCTATGGCCCCCTCCTGTGAGATGTAACTGTGGTACCCTCATAATAATATGGACTCCCAGTCCCAGGAGGGATGTTTGGAATGAACGGTGCTGGATCAGATGCTCACCCACTGTTGAAGATTAATGATCTTTCAACTCTCACCCGAGAGGTTTCCTTATACAGCAGATGGTGATTGATACAGAAACTTTCGGTTTTCTAGTGTGCAGGGAGGAAGGGGCTGCAGAGCACTTAGCTCTCAGTGGGACGCCCCTGTCAGGCTTCCGGAGCTCAGGGATCATTGCAGAGGAGGAGGTGGAAAGATTGTAAGAGCCAGAGGTGGTGGATGACCATGAAGGGGGGAGGGGTTCTCCAGACAGCTGGCCACTTATTCATATGAACTCAAAGCAACGGTGACAGCATGACAAGTCCTATGCAAGCTCAAGTGGACGAGCCCACCCTGGAGGACATTTTGGGGATTCAAGTTAGAGTCTATAGGCTTTATTACCCAGAGAGAGTAAATTGAATTAAGTATGTGTGGTGAGGAGGAGTGGATGGAAGAGGGGATATAAATGTCATCAAATTATACTGTCTGGAAATCTCAAAAATTCAATAAAAAT